GACAACTAGCAAAGTCTTAAATCATTGCTAAACATGGATCAGGGTTCATTTTGCATTTAGCTGCTGTGTTAAGGAAGCTAAGACATGGTTGTGAGCAGAGATATGAACCATTCTGTGCCAGTTGGCCTCCGTGCCTGGCAGTATTTCTGGGCACATTTAATTTGCTAGTGGCTGAGGAGGCTCAGGCCCAGATGGGAAACTGGACTCCATCACCTTAAATTCTATTTGTCAGCAGAGAAGAGTGAAGAGAGCCTCCATCGGAGACTGACTGAGCTTCCCATAGCCCTGACCTCTATTCCATTGTAGATGGAAGCTAAAGCAGATAAACTGACAGAGTCCAGCAGCAGAAAGAAAGTCTGTATTAGCCCAGAAAAGGTCACATATAGTACAGGGGAATTTCCTGCATATTTACTAGTTTCCTTCTATGCCTTTCTGAGCTCAGAAAGGTTTTAAGTAATTTACTTGATCTTTCCTGCAACAGCAAGTGCCATTTGTCTTCACAGAAAGAGTTTTGTTCTCCCTCACCATATGGAGGTTCCTTTTTCAATCGAAAGGCTGGTGTTCTGTATAATTTCATTTTAATGATCTGGTGGTTGATAGTTAAATGTGTCCACAGAAGACAACTGTAGGCTTTAATGCAAGAAAAGGGCTCATGGAGAGATATGGTGCTATGTCTTTTAAGTATGAGTAAAATGTTTTTGCTCAATAAAGAAAGTCATATTTCATGTAATTCTCAACTAAAAATACCTGTGTATTTTTTCACACTCACTGAACCAAAAACCTACATGAAAATGTAACTGTGGCTTGACTACTGCAACTGGAATGTAATGTGTCATTAACTTTTTAAAATCTTTTCACTTGCAAGATGCCATGATAGAATAAATATTTTTCTTAAACACTTCAAACAAAACATTTTCCCTTCAGGAGTACATCAAGTGTTTGGTCACAATGGGGGAGGAGTTATTAATTGAATCCGGCACTTATTTGGAAACATGACCTTAATCTGTGGGTTTCAGTGCATAAGGTGTTTTCCCTGGATGTTTCAGTAAGTCAGATAAGAAAATTATATTCTTGACATGCTAAAGATGTTCCATTTTTGACAATGGTATCCCAGTTGTACCACTGAAACTCAATGTCCTGTCTTGCTTGTTAACCACCACGCATTTATTGTTTCAGTGTCCCATTTTGCTATCAAGTATCAATGCACTGCTACATACCAAATAATCAATAGTTCTGTCAGTTGAGTATTCCCTGGAAATATAATATTACTGTTAATATCGATCCACACAGCAGAAATCAAGGCATCAAAATCTGCAGTCATTACTTGCTAGCACCTTGGCTTTTACTTGCAGAGCAACCAGCTTGAAAATCATGTCAGCATGCCATCCCTAGGGACCAATGTTTTCTGCTCTCCCTCCTTCCACGCATGATAATAACCAACAGGAACATAAGTACAAGGGTAACATCCTGCATGCAACCTGCAGACATAGTGCATATTCATTTCAGTCTTCTGTGTTTTCTGGGTGCAGCGAACCAGCTGCTGGTAAAATCAAGATGCATTGGCTCTGGTATCCACCTCTTTTCCTCCAAGCTTGCCTCAGGAGGAAGAAATTGTGCTTTCCATTCCCGTGTGTGCATTCACACACTCCCCTCTGAGTTTGGCGGTCTCAGTTGTATCTGTAACAGCTTCACAATGAAGTCGTGAATGAAAGTTTGGTTTCAAAAAAAAGATTGATTTTACAATTGTCAGCCTTCATAAACGAAGAGTTAAGTGTGATATTCCATAAGCTCTTTCCAGATTTTACTGGATCCAGATAAATTAAACCAGCATTTTATTTGCATATCACAAGATAGTCATCACAGTTCTTCCCACTTAGGAATACTCTAGTTCTGGTCTCTAGAACTGCACTGTGACACAGATAACATTTCTTTATTAAGTGTTTCTCGTGTATAGTATGAGCGTTGGGGGGCAAGTAGCCTGGAATTGAGCAGAGCACCACTTCAGTGAGGATAAATGAGACACAGTCATCATTTGCCATGTGAATTAGCTAAGGACACAGGAAGATTCTCTCAGCTAGAGCCCACCCTACAGCAGGAGCAGCAGCCTGGGCCATGCTGGTCCTGACAACATCGCTGTCTGAGTCTTGGGTGATTCCTCTAACACTGCTGTCTCTGCTCAGCCATGCACCTGGAGGGAACTGAGAATCTCTCAGCAGTATATGAGGGACATCACTAATGATGGCTGTGCTTTTCTCATCAGGAATTGGTGTGTGCACAGCAAGAGATTTTTTTTGGTATTGTTAGCTGCTAGGTTCTGTCTTGCAAATGACCTTCACCATATTTCCTTTGCTCCCAAACAGGACGTTCATCAGCCTTATGCTCCATCCTCCAGTAGTTCATCTCCTGTATGGCAAGCCATTTAGTTGTTGGGAGAGGAAGTTCGAGGCAACTTTTCAGGCTGCTTATGTGAAGAAAGATAGATGTGTACTTTCTTTCCTTCTGTAAGGAACCAAGGTCAGATTTTATGTGCTCAGATCAGCATGAAATGCAGAGAAGACATATTTACAATGTTGCACATCTACTGGAGTTTCCTAAAACTCATTTTCATATCAAGGATTACATTTCTACACTCTTTCAAATAGGAAAGAAACAGAAATTCAGACCCTCAGCTGGCTGGAAATGGTGTGACTTACAACTTAGGGCTGCTGCTGTGCAAGTACAAGGAGTCAGCAAGGAGCTCATCATCAGCTGAGGCTGTGTGCCATCAAAAAAAGAAAAAAAAAAAAGGAGGCATTGCCATGGTTGCACACTCTTCAAAACATTTTTTCACCTCTATCATTTCTTTTCTGTATGGCTTCAGCAGCTTCTTTCAGCTACTTCAACTAAAACTACAAGTGATGTCATTATTATTATTATTTTTTTCTTCTTGGAAGCTAGTGGCCATTTCTGCCCTTATCTCCTCTTTTAGATAAAATGCCCCCAAATGCCATCATTGAAGTTCAGAGGTCAGTGGTGACTTTCAAATCCTCTGCAATTGCCTTGGATCAAAACCAAATGAAATAAAAATCAATGTATGAGTCAAGAGGCCAAGACACCAAAATGATGTGTCCAATGCAAGCAGCTTGCTGGTTTCAGAACATTTCTGGCAGCCATCTGCTTGTCTGAATTTGAGGATGTGATGCTTTTAAAAGTCAGAGAAGAAACACACACTAACCCACAGCTTTTAGATATTTTGCTTGATAACAGGATTCTCTTTTTGTGCCCATTTTCCTGCAAACTCGAGAATGTCCTGTTTTGCAATCATACTGTCAGCAGGTGTTCATGGTACTGAAGTACCACATTGTGTAATTCTCTAATTTAAAAAGAAAAGCTTTTTGAAGCCTCATTTTCTCCTCATCCCTCTTCATGTATGAGCAACAAAACAGAGTTATCAAAACTCAATAGACCCTCATTTGTTTATACGTGTAAAGATTGGCCTTTTATAGCTAAAAAAGAATCTTTTTTTTGTTTTGTTTTGTTTTGTTTTGTTTGTTTCTTCACACTACTTCTATTTCAATGCCGTGGTCTCAGACTTGTCTTGTGTAACAAAGAAACAGATGCTTTATGGATGGTGTTAACCGAGATACCTCTGACCGAATCACATTTAAGACCTAAATTCCCCTTTTATTCTTGAAGGTGGTTGGCATCAAAGCACCACGAGGCTGTGGCTGGAGGGAGAAACTTGAACTCATGATGAACAAATAAAAACATTACAGATTCCTTTGTTGCCAGTGTGACCCCTTTAATTAGCAGCATGTCCACACTTACGAGAATGAAATTGTGTTGGACCATAAAAATCCCTGTCATGGTCAGAGCATAGTAAAGCAAATGTAATATTGTTCCTGGCCCAAAGACAATACGACATTAAAAGCTAAGGCGAGAGTCAGTGTATGGACAGAGGCAGGAAGGCAGAAGTGGGAAAAAGCTTTTGGTCCCTATCAACACATCCAGCTGTGGCCAGCTGTTACAGAGCTGTGTGCATTGCACTGGGAGAAGTGTGGAAGAGGACTACAGAAAGGGCTGGTTGATGTGTAACAAGAGCCTTTCCTCTGCAGGAGGGACAGCCCTGGAGAAGAGACGAAGGTACATTAGCAAAAGTTGCTTACTCTCTTACTTGGCAATTTCTTAGGGAAAACATTCTTTCTGGATTTTATTTTTTTTAAAATATATATGAATAAGGCATTTATAAAGTAATGAAAGCTACATTTTCATCAATTATAATGGACTCCATTAAATTCTGGACATTTACCACATCACAATGTTTATCTGCAAGGGAATATTTCTCTGTGCTTAATAAAATGGAACAGCGGGAGTATTGCAGCAAATTTAAGCCACTTCTAGCACTCAGTGTCAGGATTTTAATGGCACCCACATTACCTTGGCTTCTTTTTATAGCTTCATCTTGCTTTATGTGACAATACTTAGTTTTTATGTCATGCTTTTCGCATATAAATCATGTCGCTTCACAAAGAGTAGGACACTATACTCATTTCAGGGAACAGAAATAGCACAAAATGAGGTGGCTTTGTTCTGGCCACAGAGCAGGTCAAAAGCACTGTTAGGAGGAGACCTTTGTCTTTTCAGATCCATTCCCTGAGTGCACTACATCTCCAGCAAGAAGCTTTACCTGTTTGTAGACAAGTTGGGGTATGTATCAAAGACTTACAGTGAGTGGGGTGAAGGGAGTGGGAAGATTCTCATTAACTTCTTGGGGCCTAAAGTTGCAGCCAGCTACTCTGCTCTGACAGAGTTAAGTACTAACAGATGCTAAAGGCAAGGGGAAAAAAAAAAAAAAAAGAAAAAAAGAAAGAAAGAAAAAGGAGAAAGGGAAAACAGACAAAACAAACAGGATGAGGCTACCTGTGTTTCCACTTCTATCACTGGCAGCTGCCTGTTGGCTCGTCTTGGAGGAATTTTCTACAAATTCAGTTTGGAGTGGAGAAAGGAAGATAAAGTCTTACCTGCCTTAACTTGTCTGTTCATCATCTTCTAGTCTCAAATGTGTTTCGAAAGTGGCTTGAGTTCAGTGTTGTCCTTCTGGAAGCCTTGTGGGATTTAGTATGCCTCTTGTTGCCATCTAGTGATAGTGACACTGGAAGATATTAAAGATCAGGATGGGGTCAATATTTGATAGAACTCTTGGTCAGCATGCTGCTGGTGCTCTCTGTAGTGATGAACTATGAGTCTCCACGCTCCTAACATAAGTAAGGCAGAGCTTGGACTATAGAGTCTCAAGTCAAAGGACCCCTGAACTGAGACATCCCTACTATTGTGTTCCTCAGTTAGAGACAGATGCAGGTTTGAATGGGGCTCCAGTCCCCACCTGGAGACACAATGCAGCTTATTGTTATTTTGATTGTCATGGTGTGTACACACACACACACACACACACACACATAATATATATATATATTTGCTAGAGGTTTTACTTCAGAGCACTGGGAGATCTGTTCAGTAAGTGAAGCCTTAAAAAGAATATTCAGTCCTGAAAGGTGGCGTGTTCTAAGAGCAAGTATGTCTTCAGCTCCCATAAAAGGAAGGAGGAGCAGAATCTATGCTTCTGTGACTACTTCACATGACACGGAAATGGGATCTAATGTAAATCAACACCTATGGCAAATGACATTTATGACACTTATCCAGCAGGATTTGTAGGGATGATGCCATGCTGTTAAAGCCAACAGACTAAAAGAGCTTGATTGACTTCAGTATGCCCACAATGATACTTTTAAATTGTCGTAGCTTCAGATGATGTGACCTTTGTTTTTTTTGTTGTTTTTTTATTCCCCTCACTCACCAAAAGAAGACAGGAGCCTTCAATAAGCCTTATGTTTACATCCATTTATCATCTCAAAGTCTAGCAGGTTAGAATGTTGCCCTATTTAAAAGCATATGGTTAGAATAATTTAAAAGAGAAAAGTGTTTCCCCTTCTTCCCCCACCCTTACTTCTCTTCTGAATAAATCGGAAAATAAAAGGAACAACTGACAGTTGCAGGGAATTTCTTCAATTTTTCAGGAAGAAAATTGCCATCAAGCAAAGAGAAAACATGACATTTTTCAGCCCATTTGGTGAAGGTTTATAAAAGTTACAAGGATGTGAATATATGGGTTAATATTTTAAACTGTTTTGCAACCTTAGAAGTAATGGGCATGTATAATAATACTTTGCCCAGATCCCCGATATAATACTTTACATGTATACAGTAAACTGCCTTAGTTAAGCTTTCCATCTCTGATCCCTCCTGAAACAAACAAACAAACAAACAAACAAAAACAAAAACAAAAAAAAAAAAAAACAAAAAAAAAACAAA